ACTTTTGGTTAGTTTGATGGGCCTCTCTTGTTACACCAAATCTAGCCCATGAAGTTTTCTCACAATTGAATAGAAATAGCATGCGTAAGAAATTGGAATTAATGTGCAACTTTAATATTTTAACCAACAATAAGATCTCTAATATAAATATTTAGGTAACAACCATAAACATCATAATAAGAATTATATGGTTAAAAAAAAAAAAAAAGACAGAGAAAAAAAAGGAAATTCTAATTAAGACCAAATTTAGCCCATTATAAAACAATTGAATAGAAAGAATCAATTTATAAAACAATACCAAACTGTTGAACATAATAATATGTATATTTTTTTTATAATAGTGTGGCACATGTGATGTGACATTACAAAATCTTATGCCCCATGCTTTTGCCATTCAACTATGAGAAACCTTAAGGGAGCAGTTGGTTCAGAGAATGTTGGATTATTGGAAAGATAGATAACCTTGAAGATTACTGTGAATCTTTAGGAAAATATGTTTGGTTAATTGGTAGGTATGTTATATTAATATGTTTGATTGAGAGGAATAAATTGGTGGGTATGTTATTTAAATTATTGAATTGTCCTCTAATTAAATATTATTATTATATTATTTTTTAATATTATTATTATTTGGATTATTATAACCCCCCTACATTTAAAAACTTAGCAAAAACAACCCCATAATTAGATTAGATCTGGCCATATCGACGCATGACGGCTATTTTTGACCTTCAGTATGCCGTTTCGATGGCGACGGCAGCTGGCCGCGGCAATGGTTACCAGCGGCAGATGGCTGGGGGTGGTGGCTTGGGTGGGCTATAATTTGTTTTGAATTCAAGGGTAATTTTGTCCAAAAAGTTAATTAATTTGGGGTGAAATAGTAAAAGCCATATTCATGTAAATAAATTTAAAAATAAGGGCATTATTGTCCTAAAATTTTATTAATAAGGGATATAATTGCAAAAAAAAAAAAAAAAAAAAAAATAACCTTGATAATCTTAGAATACCTAAGAAAATTACCAATAATAACCACTATTGGTGTTTAAAGATTACCGGTATCTTATATTACTTGACAACCAAACATAGTAATCAAGTAATATAAGATGACTTAACTCTAATAATCTCAAATACCCCCTAACCAAACGCTCCTTAAAGGGTACTGGGCTAAATTTAGTGGACATGAGAGGTCCATGAAAAAAAAAAAAAAAAAAAAACGAAACGCCTTGATGGCTAGACCAAAAGACTTTTGAGGCAGGTAAAAGGATTCAATAAGATGAAATTGACAAAGTGTAGCTTTATTTTATGTGTTATGTTCGTATTTGTTAATGGTTAGTGGTACTCCTTCAATGGTCTTAGAATTGGTGCCTAAAACGTTTTCAGTTTGATATTATTTATATGACATTTAAGTTATATTACAATACTTTTCATATTTAGAAATATACGTTGATATAATCTTTAGAAATAAACTACCCCTTGGTGATTGGGTGGAGTGATAAGAGCTCTTGGGTGTATTACTCAAAAGGTCTTGAGTTCGATTTCCCTCAATTACTAATAAGGGTGGTTATGCAAGGTTTACCTAGCTGTTAACTTCGATGACCTGAAAGATTAGTCGAGGTATACACAAACTGGCATGAACACCTCCGATCACCCAAAAAAAAAAAAATCTAGAAATAGTTTTTTGGGTGTGTAGTCTTAACACGTGTTTTAAATTTAACAAAGAAAGTGTGAAAAGGACAATTAGTTTAAACAGTTAGTACTAATGCGACATAACTTGTAAAGTGCGTTCGGATGGGGGGTAATCTTTATTTATTTTGTAAGATTCTGATGTTTGGTTTGCAAGTAATAAAATATTATGGGAATCTTTGACTGTAAATAGTGTTTAGTGTTGGTAATGTAGAGGGTGATCTGATACCCTCCCCCAACCTTGGGATTAAAAGATTACTAAGTAATCTGATTTTTATACATGTTTTACTCTCAATTAAATACCATTTGAACATAATTGCCCTCAAATGTCTACCAAATAACAATTACCCAACCCTCTACATTTGAAAAATTAACTAAAATACCCTAACCACAAAAAAGTTTAAAAGTTAACAAAATACCCCCAGCCACCCAAGAGCACCGCTAGCCGTTACTCACCATCATCGGCCATCAGCGTCAATAGCTATAATGGTGCATGACCGAGGAAATCAAGCTGGTCGTGCACCGATATACGACCAATCATGCACCATTCTGTGGGTAGGGGTGATTTTGCTACAAATAAAAGTTTTATATGGGTGGGGTGTTTTAGCAAAATTTCAAATGTAGAGGGTTAAAAGAAATGATTAAAAAAAATAATATTATATTAATATTTAAAAAGGAAGACAATATAGTAATCTATATAACATACTTAACCATTTATCCTCCCAATTAAACATATTATTCACCAATTTATTCAAACCAACCAAACACATTTTCTAAATATTCCCAGTAAATAGTGTAAGATTCCGATGTAAGATCGGGGGTATATAAGACAACGGGAATAATCTTCATTTATTTTGTAAGATTCCGGTGTTTGGTTTGCAAGTAATAAAATATTATGGGAATCTTTGACTATAAATAGTGTTTAGTGTTGGTAATGTATGGGGTAATTTGATACCCTCCCCTAACCTCAGGATTAAAAGATTACTAGGTAATATGATTTTTATACCTATTTTGCTCTCAATTAAATACTATTCGGACATAATTGCCCTCAAATGTCTACCAAATAACAATTACCCAACCCCCTACATTTGAAAAATTAACTAAAACACCCCAACCACAAAAAAGTTTAAAAGTTAACAAAATACCCCCAACCACAAAAAAGTTTAAAAGTTAACAAAATACCCCCAACCACCCAAGAGCACCGCCAACTGTTACTCACCATCGTCGGCCACCGGTGTCAATAGCTATAATGGTGCATGACCGGTAGAATCTAGCTGATCGTGCATCGGTATATGACTCGTGCACCATTCCATGGGTCGGGGTGATTTTGCTACAAATAAAAGTTTTATATGGTGGGGTGTTTTAGCAAAATTTCAAATGTAGATGATTCAAAAAATAATATTATATTAATATTTAAAAAAAAAAAGACAATATAGTGATCTATATAACATACTCAACAATTTATCCTCCCAACTAAACATATTATTCACCAATTTATTCAAACCAGTCATACACATTTTCTAAACATTCCCAGTAATCTTCAAGGTGATTTATCTTTCCGTTAATATAATATCTCCTCTATAATAAAATATTATACGATCCAAAAGCCCGCATAAAATTAAATATAAGAGAGAATGAGTTTATTGATAATTATAAAAGGCAGAAATGTTACACTAGTTTAGATGACACGTTAAAATACCAATAAGAATCCATGCTTTTATCATCAAATTCGTGTCTTACTGTTTTATATAAATACTAATGAAATTAAATTTTCGTTGGCATTAGAAATTGGATAAAAAACTGTTTATAACTAATGATTTTTTTTCCTGCATATCCTGTTACAATTCGATCAAATACTCAAAGATTGTATTATCTCTAATTGGATATGAAGTTTCTTCCAGCGAACTATAGCATGTCAACTTTCCAAACCTAAAACGATTGAATAATCTCTAATTGGTTATCATTACATTTCCGCGTTTTAGTTTATTGAACAATGTTGAATTGCTTCAGTTAGTTCTGCAGAGCGACCTTGTTTTCTTCATTTTCCAATTTGCATTTGATTGTGTACTTTAGTTCATATTTAGAATGCGGTAAACTTTTAAGCTAATCTTTGTCACGTGACTAGTAGATGTGGACATGAATCTCAATTATGTGGTTTTGATTTACGCCAGGTCCTGGAGTTTCTAGCAAGCCCTTCCTTGCTAGCAAATTACAGTGAAGCTTGGAGGTCAGAGAAAGAGATGAATCAGTGATACTGATTGATTTGAACAGTATTATAGATACGATGCTCTGATATTTTTGCTTGAATGGTATTTTATAGATATGACTAACAATTCCTGGTTGCAAAAACTGAAGGTTTATAGCAGTTGGGGTTGGTCTGAAAATGACTTCTGGTTAGCTTTTAGAACCTGTCCCAGATTTATGATTCTGTCTGTGGAGAATATAAATACCAAAATGGACTTTTATGTGAACAAGATGAGTTGTCAGCCTTCAGCGGTTGCTAGAACCCCTGTGGCTTTAACTAATAGTTTGGAGAAGAGAATCATCCCGAGATGCAGAGTTTTCAGGGTTTTGTTGTTCAACAACTTGATTAAGAAAAAAATCGATTTGTCTTACGTGCTGAAGTCCTCTGAAAAGGTCTTCACGCACAATTTTTTGTCCAAGTATCAGGAAAAGGTTCCACGACTATTTGATATATGTGAAGGGAATATTGATCTTTCAGAACTAGGCATTGGATTTTAGCAAAAACCGGAGACAAACCAACTGTGGCTTGTTAATTGTTGATTTTTTTATACACAGCTTTTTCTTTTTATTTTTGTTTGTTAATGTGAGTGCCTTTGGCCCTGGACTTATTCAGCTCTGAATAAAGCTTAGAGCTTCTTGCATCAGTTCTTATTGTTTAATTGGACAAACTGAAATGAATGGAGTTGATGAAGTAATGACAACTTTTTTCTTCCCAGGTTCAGAGAAGATGTAATAGTTAATACCAACTTGTTATTATTGAAGCGATTCTTTGAGGAAGAAAGTACTTCTGCGTAAATCCTTGATTCTAAAGTATCAAATATCTATCTTTAAAGGAAGAATCATATCATATTTGTCATTCGTAGATGCATCCACAAATTACAGTAATCAAATCCCATAATTTTTGCCTAAAATCACCCGAGTCCATGAAATTTAAAAACCTTGGGTGGGCAATTGTTTTTCTCAAAGTCTTTGGGTGGGAAATGAAATTTCGATAAACCTTGGGTGCGAAATGTTATTCTCTCTCAATTAAACCAGTCACGTTTCAACTTGAACATAAGGTGGTGGGTTTTGCTGTTTTGGTCTCATGACGGAGAGCAATAACGCAAGATGAGAATTTGATGAGTGAAAACCCTAAAAGAAGTTTACAAGAATCTGTGCTGCAATCAAATGCACAGTTCAAGCTGAAAATTTGAAATAATTCGTGAGTACATTCTTCTTCTTCTTTTTTTTTTTCCCTCATTTGTATTTGATTTGGCCATGTTTCCTTTATGCTGCAAAAGACTGCAATTTCAACTGGTTCCAAATTGGAGTTGTTTGTTTAATTGCCACTGAGAAGTACTTCTGGGTAAATTCCTGATTCTAAAGGAAGAATCATGTCATACCTACCATTCCCAGATGCATCTACAAATAGCACGAATTTTTCTTGTTCATTTGCTTCTAACATCAGTTAGCGGAAGTGTCTTCTTCTTCTCTTCTACAAGCTGGTGAGTTAATACTTTTCACCGATTACAATGTGTGGTTATCTGTATAGAAGGCTAGTAAATGCGCAAGTTTTACCTAATATTTACCGGTGTGTCGTGCAAAATTTAGGCACTAATCATGTGGATTTGTGTTTGAGTTTGTTGCCCACTAGCATTAGATCATTCTCCACCAAAATCGAACAAGTTAGAGAGGATTACTTATGTACTGTGTCATACCTCATAAACTCATGTGGGTTGTCCCCAGAAATAGCAAAATCTGTCTCCAAAAGAATCAAGCTTCAATCTGCTGAACAACCAGATTCGGTCCTGAAAGTTCTAAGAAACTGGGGATTTACGACTGCACATATAACCAAAGTTGTTAGATATCACCCTAGATTACTTTTAGCCAAGCCTGAGAGGTCAATTTTGCCTAAATTTGAGTTTTTCAAATCTTTGGGGATCACAGATGCTGAGCTTGCGAGTGTTTGCTCTTCAACTCCTGCTATTTTGAGTCGCAGTTTGGAGAACCTACTCATTCCTAACTATAAATTCCTCAAAAGTTTGCTACTCTCTGATGCTAATGTTATTAAATCTTTTAGAAACAAAACATGGTTCTTTCAGCAAGATTTGACAAAGAATGTGTCTCCAAAACTTGCAGTCCTGAAAGAACTTGGAATGCCCACACCATTTATTGCACTGATTTTAACATGTTATGCGCCTATAGTCCTCCAAAAACGTGAGAAGTTTGACAAAAATGTCAAGAAGGTTATTGAAATGGGTTTTGATCCTCAGAAATGTGGGTTCATCCATGCAATGAAGGTGTTTGCCTCAATGACTGAATCAACTTTGGAACAGAAATTTGACCTTTTCAGGCGGTGGGGGTGGTCTGATGAGGACATTATGTTGGTGTTCAGAAAATACCCCATTTGTATGAATGCCTCTGAAATCAAAATAATGAATGTAATGGATTTTCTTGTGAACAATATGGGTTGGCAGTCCACAGATATTGCCTTGTCTCCAGATGTTTTCCTAATGAGTTTGGAAAAGAGGGTAATTCCAAGGTGTTTGGTTATTAAATTTCTGCAATCGAAGGGGTTGGTGAAGAAAAATTTGAGCCTATGTGCATGTGTACACCCTGTTGAGAAGGTATTCTTGGATAGGTTTGTGACAAAATACTTGGACCAGGTTCCTGAATTGATTAATATCTATCAAAGCAAGGAAGGCTTTCAGGCTCTGGATATGAATATTTGTGTCTCTTCCAGCAAACTGTAGCATGTCAACTTTCCAAACCTAAAAGGATTGTATAATCTATAATTGGTGATTATTACTTTTCAGCCTTTTAGTTTATTGAACAATGTTGAATTACTTCAGTTAGTTGAGCAACACTGTTTTCATCGCTTTCCAATTTGCATTTGATTGTGTACTTCAGTTCATGTTTAGAATGTGGTAAACTTTTAAGCTAATTTGTTATATGACTAGTAGATGCAGAATTATGTGGTTTTGATTTACTCCAGGTCCCTGGCGTTTCTAACCAGCTCTTCCTTTCTAGCGAATTACAGTGAAGCTTGGAGGTCAGAGAAAGAGATGAATGAGTTTGATTGAATTGAACAATATTACAGATATGATGCTGTGATATTTTTGCTTGTGCAACTTCTTTGTTTGTTTGACGTGTGCTCCTGTATAACTGTAATTGCAATATTCTATCCATCTCCATTGCAATGGAGGTGGATTTCAAGTGTGCAGTGGTGAAGTTAAATCCCTTGAGTGAAAGAGGATATGTTTATTAAGACTCAAGACATCAGTGAAGGGGTTTGATAGGTAGTCTTGCTTAGCTTGAACTTTATTTTGGAGTGAATTTTAGTATGTCTTCTGTGCTGATGTCCTCTGAAAAGTACTATATAGACATTTTTTTGTCCAAGGTATCAGAAACAGGTTCTGCAACTGTTTGATATATTTCAAGGGAAAATTGATCTTTTGGAACTAGGCATCATCAACCGTAGCTTGTCATTTGTTAATTCTTTATACACATGATTTTCTTATTGTTGTTTGTTAATTTGGGTGTCTTTGGCCCTGAACTTCTTTTATCAGTTGTTATTGTTTAATTGGACAAATTGAAATGAATGAAGTTGATGAACACACAGGAGTAATGTACTGAGTAATTCATGTTATACAAATCTGTAATTTGGTTCTCTTGTTTGCCCCATGTCAATCAGAATATAAACATTCCCCTTATCTTCTCTTGATGGATGTTGTCGCGAGAATTTAATTGACATTTGGCCATTTGCATATATCTAATCTTAGGTGAATTCATAATAACTTGTACGTAAAGGTGAGTCATTTCAGATCCTCTTGCCCTAAGTAAATGTTCTCTCAATGTTTTAACACCACACTAGATGTGGACTACACTATATGACAATATTGTGAACTCAACTCGTCTTTTTTTTTTTTTTTTTATCGGTGACCAGGGTTGTCTGAGCTAATTTGTGCGTATCTCAACTAATCCCTCAGATTCTTGAAGTTGACAACTAGATAAGCCCCTCAATGGCTACACCTATTAGCACCTGTAAGGACTTGAACTCAAAAGCTTATGAAACATTCTTTTGCTCTTTTACCACATGTCATCCAGTGGTGGTTTATTGTGAACTCAACTCACGTACCATTTTAGTAGGCAAATAAATTAACCATTGGGGCATGCTAACCTGGATGACAAAGAGTATATATTGAAGTGTCGAACTTTCTCATCAATGAACCCTTAAGAAAGATTAACTTGTTATTTTTACAGTAACTTTTATCCATTGATCGACAATCCTCTATTGGTACCATTGAATCACTAAGCTGACTTTTGTACTTACTCAACAAGTGAGTTTCGTGAGAGATGATCTGGGTTGTCCCTTTCAAAATGGTATTTCCAAACTCTCCAATGATGGTACCTATTGTCCTTATGTGTTTTTTAATTTGTTTTAACAGAGTATAACGGAACATTACATTTCCTTGATCGATCACTTGGTTTGGCTTTCAATATAAAACTTTTGCAATCTTCTTTGAAATAATATCACACCATATGTGGACTATACAATAATGTTAGAGGTACAAAGAAATTTATAAAGATTTATTGTACAAAGTGATGTGGTAAAAGATGAATGAAAGAGTGAATGTAAAAAGTCAAACTCATCATATTTATTCTTTCATTCATCTCTTATCACATTAATTTGTATAAGAAATCATTGTAAAATTCTTTATACCTCTAGTATTGCCTAGCATTGCTCGTGGACCATATTATATCATGATATTCTGAACTCAACTCATGTACCACCATGTGGGCAAATAACTTAAACATTTGGACATGCTACAACGCTAGATGAATAAGGGTATACACTAAAGTGCCAAACTTTTCCATTAATGAACTCTTAAGAAAGATTAACAATAAAATTACAATTGTTTTTAAGACATAATGACAATTTTCCACCCAAGGTTTGGTGTAAAAATTTTCTCACCCACAAACTTTGGAAAAAAACAATTTTCCACCCATTGTTATGATCCATATATTACTTCAACTAAGGAAAGATAGGATCGTAAATTTAGTGGAAGCGGAAAAATCAACTACCTTAAAAATTTTCTCTTGTCCTTATCCTCAATATCCCAACTCAAGTTAGAGAAAGAGATGAATCAGTGATAGTGATTGACTTGAACGGTATTATAGGCCGTGTTTGGTTCATTATTATTATCCATATTTTAGATCTGATTTTTCAAATAATGTTTGGCACATTATTCCAGAAATATTAGCCTATTTTTTTAATTCCTTTTAGACCCCATAAGGTTATTAATTTCATTAAATACCCCCTGAAAAAAGTTTAAAAATTAGCAAAAACACCCCTGCGATCCATACTTGCCAGATTCCGGCAACCACTGTCGGTGGTAGCCGGAATCTGTACAACAGCCTACCTGCTGACCAGAAATGGCTAGAAGTTCACCGATCTAGCCTTTTCTGGCTAGATCCACCACAGATCTGGCCGGAAAAGGCCAAATATGGCCATCAACGATGGCCAAAGAAATTGCTGTCGTTGACGGTCAACAACGGCCATATCTTTGGCCGTCGTTTTGGCCTTTTCCGGCCGTTGCAGCCACAACAGGTCGTAGATCTAGTCTTTTCCAATCAGATCCGTGGTAGATCTAGCCGGAAAAGGCCATAACGATGCGTTACGACACAGATCCGATCGGTCTATGTAGTAATGCGATTTTTTGGCCAGATTCTGGTAGTGGTAGCCGAAATCTGGCACTGCAGGTGGTGGGAGTGTTTTTGTCATTTTATATATTAGGGTGTTTAATTAAATTAGCAAACCTAAGGGTTTTTTCATAAATTTTTAAATTTTATCTCATAATACTCTCTTATCCAACTGCTCAATAGGTGCGTTTGGTTTAGTATTTTGGATAGGATTTTGGAGATAGTATTGGATAGTTGGATAGGGTTATGATTACGAGAATAGGATTTTCAGAATATGCGTTTGGTAGAGTATTTTGACCTTGATATTTGTGGTTGAATATTTGATTAATATATTTGTTTATAAATAATTTATTAATATAAATTTTATTGTAGTTTGTTAAAATAATGTATTATTATTATATAAGTTATCAAGTTACATTTTATATAACTAAATATTTTTATTGGTAATTTTGGTACCCATATATTAAAAAAAAAAAAACCCTATTAATTTCAAGTACTAATCCAACTGTTTAAAAAATCACATTAATACATACATGACAAAATACTAATTATCAACCCTTACAATCATTATTACACGTATACTCCATTAAACACTATGACATGGTCCACTGTGCTGTCCACAGTGCATTCGTTATGTTATCCTGTACAGTCTTCATGTTGTCTTAATACCTTGTTGCGGTTGACTCGGTCCTTCTCCGTTTCGGCCATATTCTGCCTCGTTTTGACGATCACAATATACTGCTCATTACCCGTACTATTATTGGTTTGTTCGAAGATACGGTCGTCCAATTGTACATTCTTATAAATTTGAAGTACCACATGCCATAACAATCTTCCCTTGTTTGTCCAACGAGTATTGTTCATTCCATTTAGAATACGGAAGCGTCTTTTCAAAACACCAAAGGTTCTCTCGATAACTTGTGGAGTGAAGCATGTCTGTAATTAACAACTCTTGTGGCCCCCTTCGATTACGGCGGTGATCAGAAATATGGTAAGCCACTTCCTATGAGGCGAGGAATCCATCTCATTTGGATAACCCTCTCAACCAATAGTATTCCCGTGTAATAATATCAGACATTTTATTTGAATTACAGACCTCAACAGTGGACGTAATGCGCTAATAAATGTCAAGAAATACTTATACCTGGTGGAGGATGTGGGAATCCAGAATTAGGATCATCTAATTGAATTTAAAACTCTTGAATCATGGCGATCCTTCCCATCCAGTAACGACTAAGTGAACATCATGTTAAAGTCGCATACGCCATCTTCTGTGACATCGATCCTTTGTGATTCCACCTATCGGCAAATTCACGTGGAACCGAAGCGTATACATGTGTGCCATCCATGGCTCCAATACAGTCCTATCATGAAAATTGAATTTACTAATATTAACCTACTAAACATTAATAACCAATTAACTTCACTATCTACTAATAGCAAACATAATAACTGCTACCTCAAGAAGGGTAATATTTTCTGTTGGCTGATATTTTCCATGGAACATCATTGAAGTCAAGTGGTCTGATAAACTCTGTCTCAACTCACATATGGCGTCGCAAACTGCGGTAACATGTCTAGAGATCGTCTCACTCGATGTTGGAAATCCTCCATCATTGTTCTGATTGTCCGTTTTTTCCAACGATTGTTAAAAATATCATAACTTGTTCTTCCAAACTCGTCCTCCTGTTGGTTGCAATTTGCCTTGATCGGACAAAATTTCACATAACAATGTAAACATTCTTGTCCATGCCACTTGTCATAGATCCTGTCATGATGACCGTTGAGTACCTCCAACATGTACTGATGACCAGTTAATACGGAGGTTGTCGTGGTTCACGCACACTTGCTTCTAACGCGCAGCACCGCAGAGTGCAACGGCTATATCTGTCAGTATTTCTCTCCGTCCCTCTCATCTGTAGCACGTCGTCTTCTTCCTGTATGGCTAGGCGATGCCATTAAAACCACATATTTGCAAAACTTATCAACTCAACATTAATAGTTGTTGTACACTTAGCAAAATATAACAATCAATATTAATCGTAATGACAATCAAAACGGTGTTTACACATGTAATATCACATAAATAAGTTCATAGAGTAGCGTTATAAATTTTAATTGTAATGAAACTGCCCACTGACGTGTACAAAATTGTTGCCAAACACTTATGAAATATAGTGACATTACTTTTATTGGGAAAGTTGTTATAATCCATTAGCCTTTTCCTCCAGGGGGTTTTACAAATATCTCCCGTCACCCTGGATTTTCATATAGTACGTGACAACTGGCAGGTAAACTGTGTCGGTACTTGCATGGCCGTCATGATGTCAATACAATTGCTCATGAAAAGGATCACATGGACCACTGGTGTTCTCTTCTTCCCTGCCATCTGTACTGCGATTGCAGCCCTCGATGCCATAGTCCGCTTCTCCGCAAGCTCGCCTGTTAAGCTAAAATGGCATCCGCAATTGAATGTCCCGCCCCCTTTCTGTGCCTCCTACTTCTTGCTCGTCCATGGCCAGATGTTGTGACCGTTTTTCCCCTGTTGTCCTCAGGATTAGTTCAAAGTCGCTATCTCCAGGAACCGCGCCGGGATTGGAAAAACTGGAGGTTTGCACTGGTTGGGATGTAATGTGTACGCATATCTTCCAGTGCAGTTTGCTTCTCAAATATTATTCATAAGCTCCTTGTGAGGAAGTCCCTTGTGGTAAAAGTGTTGCGCCAGTGGGTTTTGCTGGTAAGTTCAAAGAATAATATATTAATATTTAGCAATCCGAAAAAAATCTGTACATTTCACGTGTCATTGAATAATAATAGTTAAAAATATGAAAATTTACCTTGACATATCTTGCCAAACCTCAACGGGACACGTTGGACTTTGTGACTCCTAATCCCACCCAACCCCGTGTGTTACAGCAATTTCCGCCATGCTTGATAAACCTTTCGCAGGCGAAAGAACTTAGAGGTTAATTGTTCATGTTGAGTCTCCTGCCACCATTGATGATATGTCGTCCAACATTTCCTGATAATCAACTGTTTCATTGCAGTACCGTGCAAAGTTTTGGCCCGCTCAGATAACAGGACTAAAATTTGTGGGTCATCTCACGGACCAGGCCACAGAATCACTCATCTAAGGACAGTACGGTGAGAGACAACCAACATTGGGCACCATACGAATCACCAATCACATTACAAATATAATACTCACATGTTAACGTAATCAACTAAACACATATAAAATTATACCTCGTTCGATCGACACTGCTTAAGACGTCAATGCAGGGGAAGATACAGATACAGATACAGACAATGTCGACCACAGGTGTATGACGAACTCCAAGTGGGAAAAACTTCGAAACTTTCACCTCTGTTGCAAGTAATAATCAATCTTGCGACATTGAGACAAATTATGCTGACATCTGTGCATATGACGTAATTTCTGGTTACGATTAAAGAACGATGTCGAATCTACAGAACAAATAAATCAATTAGTGAAACCGGAATAAATATTTGAGTCAACCAATTACAAACGCATTATTAAAGTCCAAATTAAAAGGATAAGAAAAAAAAACAGTATTATACAATTATTTCCAATAAAAAAATGAAAAAAATAGCGGCTCGGGGTCTTGAAAACAAATAGGTAACGGAAACTTACAAACTTGATTTGGATACGTCGTGGTCTCTTCCCTTCTCTGAGTCATAATAAACATCAAATCCATTAAAGGATCCGTGTGTCACACGAATTAAAAGCTGTCAAACAAAACAAAAAACTCAATTAAACAAAAACCCAATTAAAAAATTCTGTGCCAATTGCCGAATAAAATAAATCCAATAAAACAAAAACCCAATTAAAACAATTATGTGCCAATTGCCTAATAAAATAAAAACTCAATTAAACAAAAACCCAACTAAAACAATATTTAATTGCCAAAATACCCAATTAAAACAATTCCAAATAAACAAAACCCATCCATTCACAATCCATTCATGCCAAACAAAGACAAAACGCAACTGCTTCCCTTTTACACAGATATAAGGTGGTTTGATGGAGTTGAGGTGTCTGTTTGATCCAGATCAGGGGTGTGGATTTGCGGCAGATCGGTCACAGTGACGGTAGGTGCGTGGGTGCTTGGGGTGGTTGGTTTGGGGTAGATGGGGTCACGGTGGGTGCGTGGGTGCTCGGGATGGATTGGTTTGGGGTAGATCGGGTCACGGTGGTGTGTGGTGCTCGGGATGGGTTGGTTTGGGATAGTTGGGTGGCGATGGTGCGTGGGTGCTCGGTGGTGTTGGTTTGGGGTAGATCGGTCGCGGTGGTGCGTGGTGCTCGGGCTGGGTTGGTTTGGGGTAGATCGGTTCGCGGTGGTGCGTGTGTGCACGGGGGTGGTTGGTTTGGGGTAGATCGGTCACAGTGGTGCTGGTGTTCCGGGGTGGGTTGGTTTGGGGTAGATCGGTTCACGGTGTGCATGGGTGCTCGGGGTGGTTGGTTTGGGGTAGATCGGGTCACGGTGGGTGCGTGGGTGCTCGGGTGTGGGTTTGGGGTTCACGGTGCTGGTACTGGAAACTAGAAAGTGAAATGGTGGTAATGCAAACTGGGAAGTGAAGCACTGAACCTGGTAATGGATTATTAAACTGAAATGGTGGTGATGGATACTAGAAAGTAGAAACTGAAGCACGAAGCTAGTGATGGATACTGGAAACTGAAATGGTAAGCATGAAGATGCATGATACTGAGAAAGTGAAATGGTGAAGCGTGAAGATGCATGATACTGAGAAGAAGCAGTGAAAAAATAAAACAAACTGTAACGTCAAATGGTGAAGCAGTGAAGATGCAGGATACTGAGAAAGAAGCAGTAGCAGTGAAGATGCAGGATACTGAGAAAGAAGCAGTGAAGATGCAGTGAAAAAAAATTAAAAAAAAAAACTGTAACGGTCAAATAGTTGTCAGGATTAAATTATTAGGATAGGATTCTGTAAATAATAAAACAAACAACATTTGCAAAATCCGGTCCAAATACAGATAAAAATACTTAGCCAAACAGACCCAATATTATTTCCAAAATTCTATCCAAAATAATAAACCAAACACACCCATAGATATGACCGACAATTCCTAGTTACAAAAACTGAAGGTTTATAGGAGTTGGGGTTGGTCTGAAATTGACTTCAGCTTATAGTTTGGAGAAGAGAACCATCCCGAGATGCAGAATTTTCAGGGTTTTGTTGTTGAACGACTTGATTAAGATAAAATCAGTTTGGCTTATGTGCTGAATTTCTCTGAAAAGGTCTTCACGCACAATTTTTTGTCCAAGTATCAGGAACAGGTTCCACAACAGTTTGATATATATGAAGGGAAAATTGATCTCTTAGAACTAGGCATTGGATTTTAGCAAAAACCTGAGACAAACCAACTGTAGCTTGTTATTTGTAAATTTTTTCATACATTGCTTATTAATGTGAGTGCCTTTGGCCCTGAACTTATTCAGCTTTGAATACAGCTTAGAGCTTCTTGTATCAGTTCTCGTTGTTTAATTGGACAAACTGAAATGAATGGAGTTGGTGAACCCATAGGAGGAAGTAATAATTAAATCATGTTATACAAATCTCTAATTGTTGTTTGTCCATGTCATGGTTTTCTGATTTAGGAAGAGTAGAAGATGCTATAATTATCAAATGGGAATGCTGGACATAGTTTTGACATTCTTAGATGCATCTACAAATCATAGTAATCAAATTTAAGAGAAAAATAACTTGTGACAAGCCAGCACCAAAAAAACTATGGTCAGATCCCATAATTTTTGCTTAAAATCACCCAAGTCCACGAAATTTAAGGCTCTCTTTGTTTCCCTATTCCTATCATAGCTTATTCAAAATACATTTTTGTTTTAATATTCCTAAAATCCAATCATATTCTATTCAACCCAAAATATTTTTTTAACACCCTAAGTTTATTAATTTAACTAAACACCCCCAATCGGCCACATTAAGTCGGTCGTGCGCCATTCCAGTGACTTCAGGTGACCATCTGACGATGGTGACCGACTATTGGCATTTAATGGGTGAGTGAGAGTGTTTTTATTAATTTTAAAATTTGTATTGTAGGGGGTGTTTAACTAAATTAATAAAGGTAGGAGATTAAAAAATAATAAAATAATCTTATCAAACAAATTTTCAAATACAATCTTATCCTCGTAATAATAACTCAATTCTAAGGCTCCGTTTGGTTGGTTTTGGGGAATACTATTATTAGTATTCCCAAAAAAAGTTAAACAGTAAAATGCCAAAAAACTCACAATATTATCCAATATTATTCAACTTTTTTTAAACCCCCTAAATTTGTTAATTTAATTAAATACCCCTAAATATATATATATTTTTTTTTGAAATTGCAAAAACACCTCTAAACCCACATTATACTAGATTCCGGCCACCACTGTCGGAAGTTGGCCAAAATCTAATATAATGGCGTCCTACCGACTGAATCTGGCTGGTAGTGCGCCGATCTAGCCTTTTCCAGCCAAATCCAAGGTGGATTTGGCTGAAAAATGTCAGATCTAAGGCCAAAGATCTGGCTGTTGACGACGACCAACATATGGTCGTCGTTGCCCATCAACGACGGCCGTATCTTTGGTCGTCGTTGACGAGCAAATGCGGCTAGATCTGGCCGATCTAGCCATAGATCTGGCCTTTGCCAGCCAGATCCACCGTGGATCTGGCTAGCAAAGGCCATATCGGCGTACGACCGGCAAGATCCAGTCGGTCATGCGTCGATATGGTGACTCCGACCACCCTTCGACGGTGGTAGCCGACGTTGATTATTCAATGGGTGGGTTGTGGGTGTTTTTATTAACTTTCAAAGTTTTTATTATAGGAGTGTTTAGTAACTAAACAAACATAAGGGGTATTTTTATTAATTTCTAAATCCTACATCGTAATACTCGTCCGATTCAACCTTTTTTAATTTTTTTTCAAAAAAAAATTCTAAAAAATGCAAAAAAGTGAACCAAACGGAGCCAATTTTTCAAAAAATACTACTTAAAATAATAAAACAAACACAACCTATAAAACTTGGGTGGGAAATTGCTCTTCTCAAAGTCTTTGGGTGGGAAAGACTGTGCCAAACCTTGGGTGGGAAATTGTCATTCTCTCTTAATTAAATGAGTTAAATTTCAACTTGAATAGACGGTCCGTTTTGTCTCATGACGGAGAGCAATAACACAAGATGAGAATTTGATAAGTGAAAACCCTAGAAGAAGTTTATAAGAATCTGTGCTGCAATCAAATGCCCAGTTCAAGCTGAAAATTTGAAATAATTCGTGAGTACTTTCCTTTTTCTTTTTTCTTTTTTGCTTCATTTGTATTTGATTTGGCCATGTTTCGTTTGTGCTGCAAAAGACTGCAATTTCAACTGGTCCCAAATTGGAGTTGTTTGTTTAATTGCCACTGAGAAGTACTTCTGCGTAAATTCCCAGATGCATCTACAAATAGCACGAATTTTTCATGTTCATTTGCTTCTAATACCTGTTAGCGGAAGTGTCTTCTTCTTCTCTTCTACAAGCTGGTGAGTTAAATCTACATACTGAAGAAAACCTTCGTACTTTTCACCGATTACGATGTGTGGTAGAAGGCTAGTATATGCGCAAGTTTTACCTAATATTTACAGGTGTGTCGTGCAAAATTTAGGCACTAATCATGCGGATTTGTGTTTGAGTTTGTTTCCCACTAGCATTAGATCATTCTCCACCAAAATCGAACAAGTTAGAGAGGATTACTTATGTACTGTGTCATACCTCATAAACTCATGTGGGTTGTCCCCAGAAATAGCAAAATCTGTCTCCAAAAGAATCAAGCTTCAATCTGCTGAAAAACCAGATTCGGTCCTGAAAGTTCTAAGAAACAGTGGATTTACGACTGCCCATATAACCAAAATTGTTAGAATGCGCCCTAATTTACTTTTAGCCAATCCTGAGAGGTCAATTTTGCCTAAATTTGAGTTTTTCAAATCTTTGGGGATCACAAATGCTGAGCTTGCGAGTGTTTGCTCTTCAACTCCTGCTATATTGGGTCACAGTTTGGAGAACCTACTCATTCCTAACTTTAAATTCCTCAAAAGTGTGCCACTCTCTGATGCTAATATTATTAAATCGTTTAGAAACACATCATGGCTCTTTACGTTTGACTTGGCAAAGAATGTGTCTCCAAAACTTGCAGTCCTGAAAGAACTTGGAATGCCTGAGCCATTTATTGCACTTGTTTTAACATGTTATGCGCCTATAGTCCTCCAAAAACGTGAGAACTTCGACAAAAATGTCAAGAAGGTTATTGAAATGGGTTTTGATCCTCGGAAATGTGGGTTCATTCATGCAATGAAGGTGTTTGTCTCAATGACTGAATCAACTTTGGAACAAAAATTTGACCTTTTCAGGGGGTGGGGGTGGTCTGATAAGGACATTATGTTGGTGTTAAGAAAATACCCCATTTGTATGAATGCCTCTCAAAGCAAAATAATGAATGGAATGGATTTTCTTGTGAACAAGATGGGTTGGCAGTCCACAGATATTGCCTTGTTTCCAAACGTTTTCCTTATGAATTTGGAAAAGAGGGTAATCCCTAGGTGTTTGGTAATTAAAGTTTTGCAATCGCAGGGGTTGGTGAAGAAAAAGTTGAGCCTATGTGCATGTGTAAAACCTGTTGAGAAGGTATTCTTGGATAGGTTTGTGACAAAATACTTGGACAAGGTTCCTGAATTGATGAATATCTATCAAAGGAAGGAAGGCTTTCAGGCTCTGGATATGAATATTTGTGTTTCTTCCAGCAAACCGTAGCATGTCAACTTTCCAAACCTAAAACAATTGTATGATCTCTTATAGGTGATTATTACATTTCAGCATTGTTGTTTATTGAACAATGTTGAATTACTTCAGTTGGTTCTGCAGAGCAACACTGTTTTCATCACTTTCCAATTTGCATTTGATTGTATACTTTAGTTCATATTTAGAATGTGTAAACTTTTAAGCTAATTTGTTACATGACTAGTAGATGAAGAATTATGTGGTTTTGCTTGTGCAACTTCTTTGTTTGGTTGACGTGTGCTCCTGTATAATATTGTAATTGCAATATTCTATCAATCTCCATTGCACTGGAGGTGCATTTCAGGTATGCAGTGGTGAAGTTAAATTCCTTGTGGGAAAGAAGATATGTTTATTGAGACTCAGGACATCAGTGAAGGGGATTGATAGGTAGTGTTTTGCTTAATTAGAAATATATTTTGGAGTGAATTTTAGTCTGTCTTGTGTGCTGATGTCCTCTGAAAGTGCTTCAGAGACACATCTTGTGTTCTAGTTTTTTAATTTGTTTTAACAGTGTATAACTGAACATTACATTTCCTTGATCGATCACTTGGTTTGAATTTCAATATAAAACTTTTGCAATCTTCTTTTAAATAACATCACGGCATATGTGGACTATACAGTAATGTTAGAGGTACAAAGAAATTTATAAAGATTTCTTGTACAAAGTGATGTGGTAAAAAATGAATGGAAGAGTGAATGTAAAAAGTCAAATTTATCATATTCACTTTTTTATTCATTTCTTACTATATCAATTTGTACAAGAAATCTTTGTAAAATTCTTTGTACCTCTAGCATTGCCCGTGGACTATATTATATCACAATATTACCACTTTGTAGGTGAATAACTTAAACATTTGGACATGCTACAACGCTGGATGACAAAGGGTATACTCTAAAGGGCCAAACTTTTCCATTAACGAACGCTTGAGAAAGATTAACAATAAAATTACAATTGTTTTTTTAGACATAATCACAATTTTCCACCCAAGGTTTGGTGTAAAACCTTTTGTCACCCAAAAACTTTGGAAAAAAACAATTTTCCACCCATTGTTATAATCCATCTATTAACTTCAACTAAAGAAAGACAGGATCATTAATTTGGTGGAAGCCGAAAAATCAACAACTTTAAAATTTCTCTCTTGTCCTCATCCTCAATATCCCTACTCAAGTCTTCCTTGTCCTAATATGGAGGTAAAAAGGAGCATAGTGCAGTCAATTCTAAGAATTTAAGAACTTAAGATTCATGGTGTATCGTGCTTTAACTGGATCGTCCTCATCTTCAATATCCGAACTCAAGTCTTCCTCTTCTTTTGCAACCTGCAGTAGCTTCCTCAAGTCAGTTCTATTTGGGCTCCCAGCATGAGTCGCTTTTGTCTCATCAATGCTGCTAAGATCCTCAATCTCATCCCAACCAAGCACCATTTTTTCCAAACATGATCTCAATTTCCCTCATTCATCGTATCCAAAACAATCCTAGATTCCCACTTATTATAATGATCTAAATCATCAACTTCCTCACAATACCTATTTATATCTCCTTAATTAAATCGCATGAACGTGAGCATTAAAATGACTATACGGTTTTCATTACCACCATTATTATTCTGATTAGTATTATTATAGAATGAATGGGATTCGTGATCACTCGCTTGGATAACATCCTTAATGTCTCGATGATCTAGGTGGTCCTTTTCAAAATAGTGTTTCCAAACTCGTCAATGCCGGTATCGACTACCCTTAGTGGATCCTTGAGACACCTCAAGTTACTTTCTTAGACTTACCCCGAACTCCTATAGATTGCTAGGCTGGAGTTTGGAGGAGTGTTGGGATCAGGGTTTTGTTCATCTGGTAGAAATTTGGTGTTGGAGGATTCAAAGTCAGGTTTTGGTTGGAGATCATTGAATTAGTATCATCGAAAAAAACGGATTTAAAGAAATTCACGATAGAATAGGGTTTGGATTTGGAGAAGCAAAAAGAATTTTATCCTTGGGAAACTTTGCTACACGTTCCACGAACCGAGAAAGAAATTTTTAAATAGTTGATTCTAGAGCTTCTAGTGAATTTACCATCCTATCATTCTTCAATTAAAGTTAATAAAGGTATCTTAATGATGGGTGGGCAATTGTTTTTCTCAAAGTCTTTGGGTGGGTAAATAAATTACGCCAAATCTTAAATTTTTTTCAATTTTTTCTTCGTCTATGCCTTTGAACTCGAAACATGATAGGCTTTTGTTAAATCGACATGTCGTATGTCGTGAATATTGTGAAACAAGAAGTGACACAGCGTCCAATAATTTTCTATATAATTTCAGGAAAATGAAGAAAAACCATCTTTCAACGGTCGAAAATGACACAGTTTCGCCCTTGCCGCCGGCCCAACTGAGCCAGCTTCAGAAAAAAAAACTCAGCGCATTTCTCAAACAGTCAACGCTTCAATATTCTCATTTAAAAAAAGAGTTGATTTTAATATTTAAATTTACAACTTGATCTTCTCCAAGTTTTTTTTTCTTTTTTCACGAGATTCGTGCAAATTTAAAGCCACTTGATCAACAAGCAAGCTCAATACTTAATAAAACATAAACTTTACTCAGTTTAGAGGTAGTAAGCGCAGAAAAGCTTGAGCTTTACGGTGCTACAGCTGGATTTAGTTCCGTATTCGAGTGAAATGTTGGAGTCTTTTTGAAGTTTAGGTGACACTAAGGAGGATTATTTTATAAGATTTGTGAAGGTTTTTTGGGGTGATATAGTTTTGTTAAAGTGGTTGAATTTGCACTGGAAGAGCGATCCAGATTTGTTTTTTCATTTATTTTGGCTGATTCTTATCTGGGTATGTTTCAAATTTAGATTATGAGGCTTTGCTTTTATGAATTTTGTAGATTTTGTTTATGTTCAGCTTTGTTTCGTCTGTTTGTTTGGTGAGAAAATGATTGAAAATTGATAATGGAATTATTGTTTTTGCAAGTTGGTAATGTTGTTATTCAAATGAGTGTTCATAAAGTCCCTAATGATCAATTAAAGGCTCGAATTTTTTAGTGTTGTTCTTTCTTTCTATTTTCATGATGTGTAGGTGAATCTTAGCCTTTACATATATTGTTTCTTTTATCTGTTTTTGTTTTCATTTTTGTGGTTTGGATGCATGTACTCGGATTTTATGATAGAATTTTAGCTATCTTCGTATTTTTCTGCTTCAAAATTGATCTTTGATTAGGTTGAAACTCTGAGAAGAAGAAGAGAAAAAAGCAGCATCTACCAAAAAGAGTAGCAAAGATGGGGAGATCGTGCTTTCCAAAATGTAGATTGGGAAGAATAATGGGTTGGCTTCAGATTGTGCTTGGAGCTCTTGTTATAATTGTAAGCCTATCGAGTCTCTTCAAGTTTTACTCAGCTGGATTTTTCATGCACAATGAAGATATATGCCGCCATTTTTATGGTGCCACGGAGGTATATGGTGGGTTTGATATTAGGGCATTGAATGATAGATTTGGGGAAGTACTAAATCGGATGGAAAGCCTGCAAGTTAAGCTTGAAAAAACTGTGCAACAAATGGAGAAGGAAAAAGATTTGGCTAAAACGAGTGTTACCAAATTGGTGTACAAGAAGTTTTTGGAGGAGGAAGTGATTAGGCCTCTTTATGCTGCTCATATTTCTCTTAGACAGATTCGGCTACCTAAGGCTGAAGGGATTAGAAACTCAACAATGAAAGAGGAGCCTTTGATTAATACTTTTGTGATAGAGGAGATTCGGAAGTATATAACCCCGAAAGAAAACAGAGTTGGGAAGGTTAATATATATGGAACAGAGAGGATACACAACACAATCGGCCATGTGTGTGTATTGATGAAGAAAGAATTGGAAGAATACATGGATTATGACATTGGATCTTATTGTAAAGATGATTGGAACGTTGCTCAAAAGCTCATGGTTAATGGATGTGATCCTTTGCCTCGAAGACGGTGCTTGACAAGGGCTTCTAAGGTCTACCAAAAGCCATATCCCATCAATGAATCTCTATGGAAACTGCCAGATGGTAGAAATGTAAGGTGGAGCAATTATCAGTGCAGGAACTTTGAGTGTTTGTCAAGCAAGAATCCTAAACGGGGTTATTCAAAGTGTACAGGATGCTTTGAAATGGACAAGGAGAAGCTTAAATGGGTCAACAACAGCTCACTTCCTGTAGATTTCCTGATCAGCGATGTTTTGGGAGTCAAGCCTGGGGAGATAAGAATTGGTCTGGACTTCGGTGTTGGCACAGGGACTTTCGCTGCCAGGATGAGAGAAAAAAATGTAACAATTGTCTCAACTGCCTTGAACCTTGGGGCTCCATTCAGCGAGATGATTGCACTTAGAGGTTTGATTCCTCTTTATGCAACATTGAATCAACGCCTTCCATTCTTCGACAACACAATGGACTTAATTCATACAACTGGATTCATGGATGGCTGGATTGATTTATTGTTAATGGATTACATCCTATTCGATTGGGACCGAATATTAAGGCCAGGAGGATTGTTATGGATAGACAGGTTCTTTTGCACTAGAAAGGATCTGGATGATTATATGTATATGTTTCTTCAGTTTAGATACAAGAAACACAAGTGGGCTATTGCTCCTAAATCCAAGGATGAAGTCTACCTTTCAGCATTGTTGGAGAAACCTCCAAGAGCAATCTGATCATAGTATGTTTTGTTTTTTCTTTTTCCTTTCATTGATCAAAAGTTATTGACTCGTATAACTTGCTCAGAACACTGAGAATGCATCTTTGTAAGAATAGTACTGCTGGAAAATTGTCCTCTTAATTTTAACTCTAAATCTGTCAATCTTTCTTTGCATAACGACCCTGTCATCTTACTCAATAAGAATAATATTATACTTCTGTACAAAACATTTTGTACAAATTAATGATACGAGTTCCTTTCTGTTTCGATAACTGAACATGGATGTGTGAAAGGTTCTGGTTACAACCCTCTTGCATTCGCATTTGAACCTGGACCTCTGCCAGTTGAGTTCATTACAGCTTGAGAACTTAGAATCTTTACATAGTCTATTCTTCTAGAGGAAAATCTAGGTAAGGAGGGATCCAAACTCTTGAGTTTTGAATTTGGAAAGCTGCATAAGTATGCTAAGAACAATCATCAATGTGTATATGGTTTGAAGACTTTAGAACTATGAAAATAATTTCACCAGTTTCTAAAAACAAATGATTCTTCTTCATTCTTAAATCATTTTCATTTTAGATTAGCTGCTTATTCTGATCGTATGATCCAAATATATCAGATATCTATGCCATCTAACATCATATAATATTTGTTGTTGGATTTGGCAAGGTACATCAGTATGCAAATACAAGAATCAAGAATGCTTCTCAGTAATTTGTGTATCTTTTGAAGACTTTGAGAGCTTTGAGATAATCTCCCAGTTTCTGAAACAAATGCTTGAATTATACTAAAAAATATTTCACAGAAATAACGTGAACATTAACACCGACCTTTATTATCAACTTATAATAAA